TTTTATTTTTTTTTTTTAATTTTTTTTTTAAATTTATTTATGATAGTCACACACACACACACACAGAGAGAGAGAGAGAGAGAGAGAGAGAGGCAGAGACACAGGCAGAGGGAGAAGCAGGCTCCATGCACCGGGAGCCCGACGTGGGACTCGATCCCGGGTCTCCAGGATCGCGCCCTGGGCCAAAGGCAGGCGCCAAACCGCTGCGCCACCCAGGGATCCCCTATATAAATTTATTTTAGAAAGGAAATCACTGCCCCTGCCATAAATAGAAGGTAGCTCTAAAACTATACAATGGAAAGTGAAGTCGTGAACCTCTAGCTGAGTTGGTTGCCAGCCAGGGTTCTGCATTGAGGCCCAACATCTCTTTCTTGGAAAGAGAGATTAGGAAAATGACAAAGTAGCACTTGTTAGGTGTTAGAAACACACTCACAATAAAAGTAAAGGGTACTTTCTCTTAATGTAATTAAGAGGACTGAAGAGGAATACTTTTCTCACTGTGCTGTTCATTACCGATCTCGAAGAGCCTGAGGCTGGGGTGGGTTTGCAGGCTGCACTCTGGGAGGCCAGCATGCAACCTGCAGAACAGCAGTGTCCTGCAAACAGTCCTCCAGCAGTGGGACTGCCCTCTCCCCACAGGAATCAACACTGAATGTGGACTTGGACTTTAAGCAGCCTTTCCTCGAGTTGAATCGAATCCTGGAAGCTCTGCACGAACAAGACCTAGGGCCAGCACTGGAGTAAGTTGGCCTGCGGCTGGGCCAATGGGGGGCCTGTGCCTGTCTGTGGTCTTTATGTACATGACATGCCTCCAGCCTGTCTCGTGGGCCTCCCATGGGACCCCCTGCCCCACCCGCTCCCTTTCTTCCCAGATGGGCCGTCTCCCACAGGCAACGCCTGCTCGAGCTCAACAGCTCCCTAGAGTTCAAGCTGCACCGCCTACACTTTATCCGCCTCCTGGCCGGTGGCCCTGAGAAGCAGCTGGAGGCCCTCAGCTACGCTCGGCACTTTCAGCCCTTTGCGCGGCTGCACCAGCGAGGCAAGTGCTGGGGTTGGGATGGTGGGGGCGTGGGTGCCAACAGGGATCTGGTGGTGGGGTTGAGTCCCTGCTGCACCTAGAGGGCCACAAGTAGGCAGAATACGTTTCCCCAGCTGAGAACTGGCCCCCCGCCCTCACCGACTCCAGGTGAGGCTCTTCCCCCACATCTGCCTCTGCCAAACCCTTCCAGCCTGGCACAGAGTACTCTGCATACCTGCCATGTGCCACCCCCACACTGCACACGGGCCATGTGTGCCTGACATACCCGCCCTCATGCTGCAGCGCCTCTTCATAGCTGCCTTCCCAAGCCTTCTTTCTGTCACACCAGGATTTCCAAACCTCAGTTGCTGGAGTCTTCCCTTCCAGATGCTCACCATTAATAACCACTCCTACTGGTAGGAACTGGTTCTTGATCTCCACGCCTACCCATTTCTTGCCTCACATTTTATTTGTGAAATCATGACAAATCAAGCACCGTTAGTAAATCTAGATAGCGCCTAAAAGTTTTTGGAAAAGGGAGAGTAGCTAGTATTAGAGGAGTCTGAGTACTAAGCTGAATCTCTTCCCTAGGGCACATGTAAGGATGAGAAGAGAATTCAAACTCTCCTCTACCTGATTGCCCTGTGGCCTTGTCCCACAGAAGCAGCCCCGAGACTCGGCCTCTACACTGGACTTGAGGGAAAACCGGGTTTGCCTGAGGGCAACTCAGTGCCCAGTCATCTGGTGGTGGTGGGGACCTGGGGGCTGTGAGCCCCAGCCTGCTCCCCACCCTGCCTCTGAGCAGCCCCCCTCACCCTGACCTGTACCCGATTGCCTTGTAGAGATCCAGGTGATGATGGGCAGTCTGGTGTACCTGCGGCTGGGCTTGGAGAAGTCACCCTACTGCCATCTCCTGGACAATAGCCATTGGGCAGAGATCTGTGAGACCTTCACCCGGGACGCTTGCTCCCTGCTGGGGCTTTCTGTAGAGTCCCCCCTCAGCGTCAGGTACCGGCAGTCCTGTGGGGGCGGCACAAGTGGGAAGGCTTTGAGGGAAAGTTTGCCAAGGTCCTTTCTTGTGCCAGGGATGGCATTTGGTGCTTTCAGACCTATATGGGCTCTCTTAGTCATTCTCCCTGGTAGGAGTTACCTGATTTTACAGTTGGAGAAACTGAGGTTAGGAAGAGTCATGGCCTGATGTCACTGCAAGGTCAGCGGTGACCTTTTGTCAGGTCTTTTGAATGAGGTCTTCTTCTTGCCTGCACCTCACCCCTGAATTATCCCAACACCCTCTGCAGCCTGGCTGCCTTCTTTCAACCTTGTCTCTCAAACCTCTTCCCTTTGGGGAGATTTGAAAGTGCCTGAGTAACACATATCAGGACCTTTCCCTTGGACTCCTTTAATGTTCTCATGATTTCACCAGGTCCTAGGAATTACAGGTAGTTATCCTCATTTTACCGATGACAAAACAGACTCAAGGCATGAGTGAACTTGCCCAGAGCCCCACAGGGGAGAAAGGCTACACAGACCTGGTCCCAGAATCCCATGCAGCAGTGTCACAGTGCCTTTTATTTAGACTGACCGTGGACTCTCCTGCCCAACCCCTTGGGGGGAGGATTTTGGTTGAAAAACAGTGTTTCCCAGCAGGAACACCAGGGACAACCCATGATGGTTCCTGGGTGCCCAATTTCCCCAAGCATCATAGGTATTTATTTAGCACCTCAGGCACCAGGCAGTCGACTCCCCACCCCTGCCTGAGTCATTGTGAGATTTGAATCTGCCCCCGTGTCTAAGTGCCCTGATGGAAGATAAGCAGTTGTAGAGGTGCCTTATGACGGCAGAGTGGAACAGACAGGCAGGCTGGGGCCCTTTCAAGCTGATCACCGTCCCCATCATACCAGCGACATTCCAGTGGTTTGGAGGAGCAGATAGCTCTCCCCTAGATCTTCCTTTTATCTTTCCCATAGGTCCTCAAACTCTGGGGTGCATTAGTGACTCTAGACTTAGACACACCTAACTACACATGTGGCACTTTATGAGTGACCAGAGAGATTTTCAAGGAGCAGTCTGACCATGTGCCACCTCAGAGCCCTGTCCCAAGATACAGGCCCACGACTGGGTGCTGGGGCCTTGGGCGTGTCTGCTGGGTCCTTGGTCTGGGGCACTGCAGCTGCTGCTCTTTGTTCTGCAGCTTTGCCTCTGGCTGTGTGGCGCTGCCTGTGCTGATGAACATCAAAGCTGTGATTGAGCAGAGGCAGTGCACGGGGGTCTGGAGTCACAAGGACGAGTTACCGGTGAGGCCCAGCAGGGGGAGGTGTGGGCAGAAGACCCTGGGAAGGATAGCCGCTGCCCCTGCAGGGACTCACCCCTTTGCTGGCTTCCTCAGATTGAGATCGAACTCGGCATGAAGTGCTGGTACCACTCAGTGTTCGCATGCCCCATCCTCAGGCAGCAGACGTCAGATTCCAACCCTCCCATCAAGCTCATATGTGGCCACGTTATCTCGCGAGATGCACTCAACAAGCTCATTAATGGAGGAAAGTAAGTTCCCCATGCTCTGCTCCCTCTTGACTTGGCTCTCCAGCTGGCTGGCCCCTGAGACATTTTTTGTTCTCCTCCCTTTGCAGGCTGAAGTGTCCCTACTGTCCCATGGAGCAGAACCCAGCAGATGGGAAACGCATCATATTCTGATACCTGCTTGGGATGAACTTTGTCAGAGGGGTTTCCCACCTATGAGCTGTGGTCTGCCTCGGTGGGCGTGGCTGACTTCAGATTGTGGTTTGCTTCAGAGCAAATGACTGAGTGCCACCATGGGCAGAGGCCAAGAAAGGAGACAAACCAGTCTGTGATGGGCAGCTGGCTCCTTGGCTGGAAGGGTGGGAGACATGGGCCTCTGCACTCCTGGTGTTTCCTGTTTATATCTGCCAGTGACTTAGTTGCGACCAACAAAGAAGCAGAGGACTGGGCCAGCAACGCAGACGTCCTTTCAGTCATACGGCTAGCCAGGTGGCTTATGGTTAACACCCCTTCTATTGTACAGCTTCACAACTGTATGTATCTGTTCCCCGCTGTAAATAGTCCGGGTTCCAACTGAATGCCACTGTTTTATAACTGAGCAAATATATTCACAGGCCTTCTCCTTATTTCACCTGCCTTTAGCCTCACTGACAAGGAACTACTGCAGGGCCCCCACACCCAGGGAGAACCCCACGTGCATCTCAGACTGGGCAGAGGCCCGGGGAGGTCACGCCCTGAGCAAGAGGTTCTTACACAAACACGTATCAAATCTTGCCCCCTCCTTTCTAGGAGGCAGTGCCAGGGGACTTAGGAAGATGAACGGACTTGCCCTATGGGGCTCACAGCTTGTGAAGGAATTTGAACTGGATCTGACCCTCAATCTCAAGCTCTTTGCGGTTTACTGCAGGGTGCCTGGAGCTTGGTTGCTTGCGGCTTGTGCCAGCTGAGCCCTGTGCTGGGCCCTGGGGAGCAGGGAGGCACCTGAAGTCTGGAGTGCTTAAAGGGACTGGGTTACCAGGGTCATTCTGCTCAGCAGGAGAGCTGGCCTGGGGTCTGTCTCTAGCTTCATATGCCTACTTCTGATTTGCTGTGTGCATGGCTAAAATTGCTTCCAGGAGTTCCCCAGTGGCATTTCAGGCTCAAGGGGGCAGGGGAATGGAGGAAAGAGGGATGGGGGTATCCCCAACACAGGGGCCGCAGGCTTTTCATGCAAAGGGTCTGATGCAGCAGCCTTATCCTGCAGCACCGACCTACCATGGGAAGCGGAAGCTGGGGGTGGCAGCAGAGTCTGTTCGCAGCTCTGGTCTGACGGCGGCCCTGGCAGCCCAGCAGTAGCACTGAACACCCTGAGTCCTCCAGGTTCTCTGGTGAGAAAGGCTGCTTCCACTGTCTTCTGCCCACCACCTCCTTGGCCTTACCAAGCAGCTGCTGCTGCTGGAAAAAAACACCCACAGGCTCACCACACTTTAGTCTTAGCATTTACTTCCCCCACATTACATTCTCAGAGCTATCTGCGTTGATGCTCAACAGAAGATGCCGGCATTCCCTTCATGAGAAGGCTGGCAGAACTGCCTGGGAAGAGGACAGGCCACAGGGGCCCAGAGTGATGTGCGAGCAGAGCACAGACAGTGGCAGGGCAGCCAGCTGGCCCACTGCCAGGGCAGCAGCTTCCAGAGCAGGTGCCTGAACCCTTCACATGGGCGGGGGCAGGGCTTGCACCTCCTCCAGGCACTCGTCGTAAGCCTCCTGGTACTCCTCATGGGGCTTGACCATGATCACGCAGGTGGGACGCTTGGAGCCAGCGGCAGCACCCAGGTCCTGTGGGGGAGGGAGGGAAAAAAAAAAAGGCTGTGTGGGAAAAAGGCTGCATGACCTGTATGCCAGGGAGTCACAAACCCCTGACCAGCCCACAGACACGTGCTATTCGGTCCATGTTACACCATCATTTCAACTCTGCCAGCTTTCAAGCATGGTCTGGCAACACTGGGCCTACAGAGCCACAAGGCAAGCGTGAATGGGCTTCCGCCCCACAGAGCCTGCCTCTCTAGGCTGGGCCAGTGTTCTCCTGGTTCCTGCGTGAGGATAAGGCCAACCACAGGTCCCTTGAGCAGCCCCCTCTCCCCCAAGTACTGCAACCACCTGACAGGGCTGATAGAGAGAGGCACAGCATCTTCACTGACAGGGCACGTCCACGCACACCTACTTTTTCATTCCCACAGTCCATAGGGTGGGAATTCCCAGTTTTCGAGGAGTCTGAACCAGGAACCAACCAAGCCAAAGGTCCATCAGTGTCTGTCTCAACTCCCAAGCTTGCACTCTTTCCCACCGTGGCCTGCTCCCACAGAACCCCTCCTTCAGTGCTCCCCAAGATTGGGAAGGGGGGCTCATATGTTCTTACCGTCTTAGAGGGAATATAGACGTAGGGCAAATTCCGGTCCTCACACATAACTGGGAGATGGCAGTATACCTCAATGGGCAATGTGTCTCCTGCCAAAACCATGATCCTGAAACGAGAGAAATACTGTCACTTTTAACTTGCCCATTCCCTCTTTCAGTCCAAAGTGGTACCTGTGGACTGGGCCTCCAAATAGGGATGGACAAGATGGCCCCAGCCGTCATGGACTCCAGGTGTGAATCTCCTGCCTTCCGAGAGTGCGTGCAAATGTGTGTTTGGCGAGCACTTACTTCCTCTGGGGAGGTAATGCCTTTAGTTTCTGGCAAATAAGTAAATGTCACACAGTGTGACAAGTGAGATTCCACTGGGACAGGTGAGGTATGGGAGTGACACCAAGGAGTTCAGAGCTCAGCTCTCCTAGGAGAATGAAAAAAGGAACCAGGGGGGGACACTAAATCAGAAAGCTGAATGAAGGTGTCAGGCAGCCTGTGGCAGAGCTCTGGAGGTGGAGGGAAGCATTTGAGACAGAATCAGAATGGCAGCACATACCCAGGAGCTGGCTGAGGGGGGCCTGGGGTGGCTCTGGAATCCTGGATAGGGATGAGGCCAGAGACCCTGGCAGGGGCCTCAAGTGCCAGGCTGGGAAGCATGAGCATGGTCCCAAGAAGGACAGGGAACTAATGAAGGCTTGCCAGAGAACCCTCAGGTAGGACTCACAGCTGGCAAGATGACAGGGCTCTGGGGCAAAGGCCTTGGGAGTCCTGAAGACACCAAGGAAAAGCGTTCTCTCAGGGTAGGTGGGTGGCAAACACAAGTAAAGAGCTCTTAGTTCAAAGTACTGCGGCCCACACTCCTAGTTTTCCTTTGGTCTTCCAGGCTCTCCTCCACCAGCACCCATTCCTTGGAGGGGCCATTCAGTGCTGGTGCTGTCCTCACAGGCTGATCCCTGACCGACCTGAGCCTCAGCCACGGCGTCAGATGCCATCTGTGTGCTGATAACTCCCAAATTTGTTCTTTCCTGCCTGGCCTCTCCCTTCCAGGCCCCAAATCTGTGCAGCCATCTGCCTATTTGACAGTTCTGCTGGGGGCAGGGCAGGGGGGGGGGTCACATGCCAAAAAAAGCACCTTAAGAACTAGTCTAGAGGGATCCCTGGGTGGTGCAGCGGTGTAGCGCCTGCCTTTGGCCCGGGGCACGATCCTGGAGACCCGGGATCGAGTCCCGCATCAGACTCCCTGCGTGGAGCCTGCTTCTCCCTCTGCCTGTGTCTCTGCCTCTCTCTCTGTATGTGTCTCTCATGAATGAATAAATAAAAATCTTTTTTAAAAAAATAAATAAAAATAGGGATCCCTGGGTGGCGCAGCGGTTTGGCGCTTGCCTTTGGCCCAGGGCGCGATCCTGGAGACCCGGGATCGAATCCCACGTCGGGCTCCCGGTGCATGGAGCCTGCTTCTCCCTCTGCCTCTGTCTCTGCCTCTCTCTATCTCTCTGTGACTATCATAAATAAATAAAAATCAAAAAAAAATTTAAAAAAATAAATAAAAATAAAAAGCGCTTACTGTCTGGCCTGAGAGGGAGAAAGATGTAATGAAGTCAATTCTCATCGCACCCTGCACATCCCCTCACAGTTATCTCAGGACCTTTGATTTTGTGCGTCTTTGGTTAAAGTCACTGCCTCCCTATAGCACCGAGCCTGAAAAAGAGTAGACAAGAGTCTACGAGTGAGTGAAGCTGGGCTCTACCCGACGTGAGCTGGCTGATTCCCTTCCCTTCCCTTCCCCGGATCTCACTGTCCCGGTGGGGCTCCTCCCAGCTCTTGGAAGTGACGCGATGCTGTCTGCCGGCTAGCAGTACCGGAGGGAGCTCACCGACTGCCTGATTACCTGGTGTCCAGGGGGCGGGCCGCCAAGCATTGGAGATGCCCATGCGACCACCCAGAAATGCGAACTCCGGCAGGAGGGGGGCCTTACCCTTTCTCGCCTTTGTTGATAAACTTCTGTACCTCCTTCACCCCGCGCCGAATCTGTTTCTGCTTCACGGCTGCAACGACAGAAGAGTCAGCGGGAGGCCGGGGAGCCTCGGCCCGCCCCCGCGCCACCACCGGCCACCGCGCCGGCCACACCTTTCTTGATGCACTTGTAGAGCTTCCGCGTGAGACGGCGAGAGGCCAGTGGCTGCGCGATGGGATTCAGGTTCACCAGCAGCTCGTGGTAAGTGCGCTCCCCGAGGCACGCCTCCGCCTGAGCCTCCGGCGCGTCGGGATCTGCCTTTATTTTGGTCATCGCGGCGGCCACGGAAACCGGCTCCCCGCGCGGCAAACCCACGTGGCCCGAGCCTCAGGAACCACTTCCGGGTCGTCCGGCACTGCGGGAAGCGGACGTACACCTTAGCCAATGAGGAAACGAAGTCTCGGACTCAAACCAATCGTCGTCCCTCGGCGCTTTAAAAGCGGACCGCGGAGGGGCGGGGCCTCGGCTGAGGGGCGGGGCCCGGGGAGGGCGGGAAGGGACGCGGACGCAGGCTTAGGCCGGGAGAGAGCTCCGCCTCGCCGGCTCCGGGGGTGGTGGGGGAGGCGGGGGAGGCGGGGTCTGCGGGGGGCGTAACCACGCCCGAGGGGACCGGACCCCCCGCGTGAGGGGCGGGGCCTGCGAAAGGGCAGAAATGGGTTCCTAGGCTCCTCCGAGTCTGGTCCTCCCGCGGTCCCCGGCGGGTGCGGCGGGTGCGGCGGGTGCGGCGGGTGCGGCGGGTGCCGGGGTGAAGGCAGAGCCTCTCGCTGCAGAGGCCCCCGCGCTAGCACGACGCCTCACTCTGTTCTCCCCGTCGCCCCGCTCCCTGAGCCAGTCTCTGCTCAGTCGGCCGCCCGCTCGGAAGTCACCCCCGGGACAGACTCCCCCGCCCCCTTCTCTGAAACTGCGGTCCCGGTGGACCTCCACGGACTTCCCCTCCCCCTCTGTTTTCCGCCCAGTTCCTACGGCTGCCCGGCCGTGACCCCGGCGAGGGCGCGCGGGGGGGAGCGAGCGCCCCCTCCGCCGCGGACCCTGGGGGCGCCGGCACGGACGCTGGGACCTGGGGCGCGGTCCCCAGGTGGGCTGCGGCTCCGCAGCTACGCTCAGAGCGTCGGTGGGCGCCCCGCTGGGCTGGGGGGAGGGGAGGGGAGGGGGCGGGGAGGGGGCGGGGAGGGGAGGGGAGGGGAGGGGGCGGGGAGGAGGGGGAAGGGAGGGGGCGGGCCCACCCACCCTAGGGGTGATCTGGCCTTCCCGCTGACCTCCCCCGCTTCCGGGAACGCGGGATGGACGGTGATTCGACGGCTGCTGCGGACTGATTGCCGTGGGTCAGGAGGTGGTAGGCCTGAAACTTTTAAGGTAGCAGAATAGGCCGGTGACCCGTGGGAGCGCAGGTTAGTTAAGCCGACTTAAAAAATTGAACTTTTCACCCTGTCACCAAGTGTAGTCATTCAATAAAAATCAAGTCAATTTAAAAAAGTTTTTATTTATTTATTTGACAGAGAGAGCACAAGAAGGGATAGCACGAGAGGGAGAACCAGGCTCCCCTTGAGCAGGGAGCCCAAGTGGGGCTTCACCCCAGGACCCCCCGGATCATGACCTGAGCCAAAGGCAGCCACTTCACCGACTGAGCCACTCAGGTGTCTAAGTCAGTTTTTTGTATTTTCCATTAGAATAAGAAAAATCAAGATGCCGGCCATCCTAACCTTAGACCCCAAGCAGTTTTCACAAATAGAAACATGAATCAGTTGAACAATGAAAATATGTTATATAAGCAATGAAAAAATAGTTTGAAAGTAAGCAGAATGGTATGCACAACATAACAGGATAATGATCTTTTATAAATGTTTTCACTTTGGAGTTTCTTGAGGAAAGATGGCCCCTGCCTGAAGCTTTGGGGCCGGTACTTTCCTGCCTACGACTCTGCTGTACCCCTGTAGGTCCAGTAGTAGCAATTCTTGCCTTCCTGGGGAAGCCGTCCTGAAGCTGTGAGAGCTGCTCCGTGGGCTTCCCTGAACACAGAGCTGCAGGGCTCTGAAGGGTGCTTTTCCTTTCTTTTTTTTAAACTTTTTTTCAAAGACTGAATTTATTTATTCATGAGAGAGACAGAGAGAGGCAGAGACATAGACAGAGGGAGAAGCAGGCTCCCTGTGGGGAACCCGATGCAGGGACTCATCCCAGGACCCTGAGATCACACAGAGCCAGAGGCAGACGCTCAACCACTGAGCCACCCAGGCATTCCCCACCCCCACCCCCGCCCCCGCTTTTTTTTTTTTTTTAAAGATTCATTTATTTGACAGAGAGAGAGAGCATGAGTGAGCAGAAGCAGGCAGAGAGGGAGAGGGAGAAGCAGGTTCCCCACTGAGCAGAGAGCCTAATGTGGGGCTCCATCCCAGGATTCTGGGATCAGGAAAGATCAGATGCTTAACTAGGCCACCCAGGTGCCCCTGAAAGGTGCTCTTCTAGTCTTGTCTCTGAGTGGTGTTCCTGTCAACTTTTAAAGCCTTGTAGGACCCCCCCCCATAACGTGTCAGGTCGCAGAGGGGCCAAGTACTGCCAGATGTATGCATGGGACAAGATGAACTGCGTCCTTATGGAGAATTTCATCCTCAAAAAACCCGATTCCAATAAATGTGTTGACCAAAGTCTCAGTTGTTGAAAGCCTCTCAGTTCTGATTCGCAGGAGGAAAGAAGTAAACATTTATGCACCAACTACATTACTCGGGGTATTTCATCGGTTGCTCACAAAGAATGCCTTTATTACTCACCATTTATGGAGGCCCACAGAGTAAATAGCTCTGTCCAGCTCACACTGGGCTACATCTCAATCCAGGTCCACTTGCCTGCAAGCTTACACTCTGCTTGTGTCGTGTGATATGTCCTCAGTAAACTACATCGCGCATTTTTAAAAAAGATTTTATGTATTTATTCATGAAAGACACAGAGACATAGGCAGAGGGAGAAGAAGGCTTCCTTCAGGAAGCCTGATATAGGGGTCCATCCCAGGACCCCAGGATCATGCCCTGAGCTGAAGGCAGATGCTCAACCCCTGAGCCACCGAGGTGTCCTTACACGTGCATTTTTAAAGCCCAGCTCAGGCCTCTAGGCTGGATCTGAAGTGGCATATGTGACTTAACTGATTTTTTTAGAATGGCTACTTGAGCTCACTTGAAGCAGTGTAGACTGAGTGAGACCATCTGGCTATGCCTAATGGACAGTAGACCAGGGCTCTGAAGAACAAGCAACCTTTGTTAACTCATTTAAACTCTCTAGGCTTCAGCACTTTGTCTAATAAAGTGAGAAGGTTTGACCCAGATGGACTAAAGTCCCATCGTCTGAAATGTTGGGGAGGTTGGTTTTTTTTTTTTTTTTAAGTTGTGATAAAATTCCCATCCCATGCTGGTTGCCCGTTTAAAGTGTACAGATCGGGCAGCCCGGGTGGCTCAGTGTTTTAGCACCGCCTTCGGCCCAGGGCAGCATAATCCTGGAGTCCCAGGACTGAGTCCCATGTCGGGCTCCCTGCATGGAGCCTGCTTCTCCCTCTGCCTGTGTCTCTGCCCCTCTCTCTCTCTCTCTCTCTCTCTCTCCCTCTGTCTGTCTCTCATGAATAAATAAATAAAATCTTTAAAAAAAAATGAAGTGTACAGATCGATGTTTTTTGTATAGTTAGTGAATTGTGCAGACATCACCACAGTCAATTCGAAGATATGTTCATCCCTTCAATAAAAACCCCTGCATCCTGTGGCTATCACCCTCTGACCCCCACAGCCTCCCCAGCCCTAAGCAACCCCTAATTTAATTTCTGTTTCTATAGAGAGTAGTGTCCCTGTCCTGGACATTCCGTCAAATGGGGATCATTTAGTGCATCACGTTTTCAAGGTCCATCCATGTTGTCAGCATGTCTATTATTACATCACATTCTGTTGTATGGGTTTTCTGCATTTTATCCATTCATTAATGAATGATTGGATTGTTTCTACTTTTTGGCTACTGGGAATAGGGCTGCTACTTTTCATGTGGGCATATGTTTTCAATTCTCTTGGGTACACACCTAGCACTAGCATTCTTGGGTCTCTTTAGCTTTTTTTGGGGGAACCATCAGGCTGTTTCCCAAAGCGGCTGTACTGTTTTATGCTCCTAGCCACAACGTACCAGCATTCCAATTTCCCCGCCTTCTTACCAACACTTGATGTTATCTGACATTTTTATTGTAGTAATTCCAGTCCTTGTGAAATTGAACCTGGCTGTGGTTTTAATTTGCATTTCCCTGATGGCTAATGATCCTGAGCAACCTTCCTTGCAGTAAGCTATTTGCATTCCTTTGGAGAAATGTCTACTCAGATCCTTTGCTCCTTTATTTATTTATAAATATTTTATTTATTTATTCATGAGAGACACAGAGAGAGGCAGAGACACAGGCAGAGGGACAAGAAGGCTCTCTGTGGGGAACCTGATGCGGGACTTGATCTCAGGACCCCATGATCACACCCTGAGCCGAAGGCCATCTCTCAACCACTGAGTCACCCAGGTGCCCTGAGGATGACTTTTTTAACTGACCTTTTATTTATCAGGCTGGATGCTTACTTTGGGGCCTGACGTTCAAGTGAAAGATAACAACATAGTAGATATAGCTGACACAATTTATTGGAACTCTGCTTTAGTTTTATAGGCCAGGATCTCAGTCCTAGTATGGTCAGTATTTGTCAAGATGATTGAGGGAAACCTACATCCCAGCCTGGTTTTCTTAGTGACGGGTTGGTGTCTCCCCAGAAACAAAGCTTGAGATTTTGGGGCCAGATGCTAAGAGAGGCACTAAGTAGGATTCTGGAGGTTGGACCGTTCCTCAGAAACAACTGTTTGGGAGCTGGGACCTTAGAAAAGTCAGCGTGGCTCTTGAGAAGGATACGTTTCCTTAGGGTCTGGATTTTGGCTTTGGAATTTAAAATGTGATATTTTAAAGGTGATAATGTTAAAAATTTTTTTTCAGGTGGCTGAAGAGTTAAACATTCTTCCTCCCTAATTCCTATTCCTTCCATTTAAGCTCTCCAGAGGGGGGCGCCTGGGCGGTAAGCATCTGCCTTTGGCTCCTGTCAAGATACTGGGGTCCTGGGATGGAGCCACAGGTCTGGCTCAGCAGGGAGGCTGCTTCTCCCTCTTCCTACCCCCCCCCCCTTGGTGCATGCACGCTCTCTCTCTATCAAATAAATAAAACCTTAAAAAAAAAAAACCTCTCTGAAGTATTCACTATTAAGTTTTTTATGTACACATGTGTACATGTGTTTGTTTATGTATTTTAAATAATATAATGTAGGGGCACCTGCCTGGCTCAGTTGGTAGAGAATAGGACTCGATCTCAAG